GTTAGGATTTTAACACAAATCAGATTATGCATGAAAATTTCAGGGAAATTAATTTGTGAGCAAACAGGAAGCCTGAGCACTGAGAAGGATTTCAGCTGTTCTGAGTTCAGAAGCAGTTTACGTGTTGGAGTAAACTTAATCTGCAGACAATCAGGGACTCTCAGAGTGAGGACAGGTCAGAGGGACAGCAGAATAAATACTCTCTCCTGACAGCTTATTCTGGGAAAAGTTACACATAACTGTTTACACAGCAATCCAATGAGAACCAGTCAGATCCACCATAATCTGCCTGTGTTCAGCTCTCTGCAGCATGACGTGACCTTTGAACCTCAAACATCAYGTTTTCTTAGATCACATTAGAAATTCACACAGGCTTGTTTATAAACTGGAACATGAAGAAAAAAAAGTCATGGTTTCTGTGACTTTAGTCCCTTTCCTGCATGCTAAACACTATGAATAATATTTAGAACCTGTATCATTTTGCAAGGAGTCATTAAGTTGATTTCAAAGTAAATTTCACTGTCTTAATCAAATTCACCTTAAAATCACTCAAAAAATGACAACAAAGTAGTGCGATGGGATTATTTCATAAGGTCTGAATGTTAGCTGAGAACTCAGATGATTCAGCTCTGCTGCATGATGGGACTTTTTAGCTTTTAAAACAAAACAACACCTGAAAAACTAAACTACAAAACTGAACAATAAATGCCAACAGAGTAACTGGTAGCAGAGAGGAAGTAGTAATCTACAGTTACTCAAGTTACTGTAAAAGAGGGTGAATTTTGTGTACTTATGTTCACACTTTCACTTGACTATGATGAATTTCAAGAATTGTACTTAGTAACATTTARAATTCCATCCATTACAGAGTAAAAAATGTGAACATAAACGTGAATTAAACTCAGTAAAAATGTGCTCCATAACCTGCAGAGACTGGATCTRCTTCTGGTCAGTCGGTGTTTAATCYGGCTGAAAGRTATCAAGTTAAATAAACTAAAGAGACTGTGTACAAAACACCACTCTAGTTCATTTAAATAGCTTTGATTATTTAGGTCAGTTTAAATTATAGTACTACTGATAATATTTTGTACACAGTTTCACTGCAGCTTAGTTATTTACTCTCAATTTAGAGTCACAAACAAGTCGTCAACAGTCACAGTCCTGTGATCCACCACCTTACAGTCTGCTAAATACTGTGGAAGAAGTGAGAATTTTATTTTATTTTTTTCTTGGTCTCCTCTCAGCTGATTGCAGCCGGGTGTGTGTGTGTGTCGTGAACGAGGCTTCAATCTGAGCGCTTAGGGGGAGGGGCGCACTGCACTGCTCACTGCTTGTGGAGGGGAGGAGGAGGAAAGGAGAACAGTGCTGTCGCCAAAGCTTCTAAGTCTCCAAAAACACCAGGAAAAGTTTTGTCGCTGGTCGCTTTTTTGGGGGAAAAAAAGAGGTGCTAGAAGGGGTCTGAAAAGTCGCTAAGTTAGCAACACTGCTCTGCTCGACTCACTCCCAAATCACGTGAGCCTGTGCGGTTAGAAAATCTCGTTTTAACATATTGCGAGATTTTCGCAAAAGCGATTAATCGTTCAGCTCTAGTCATGAGGCGGAGTCAGGATGCGGAGAGGTTTGTTTCTGGATGTGTTTCCGGGGTCTGCTCACTGTTTAGCTGATGCCTGTCGGAGGC